AATAAAATTTTTGACTTAGCTTGAACAAAATATATATATGTGTATATACATATTTTGTAACCAGTTTTACAGTCCAGAGGATTTAAATCCAGGTTCTTTTCATGTTGTATTTAGAATGCTTACTTAATTTTTTTTCATTGTTTTCATCAACTGCTTTTAAACAAGAAGAGGAAAGAAAGCTACTAGACATTCTATAAAAAAGACATCTGCCCTAGAATGTTTATTGCAGCACAATTGACAATTGTAAAGATGTGGAAACAACCCAAGTGCCCATCAATACATAAGTGGATTAATAAAATGTGGTTTATGTATACCATGGGGTACTACTCAGCCACAAAAAACAATGGTGATCTAGCACCTCTTGCATTATCCTGGATAGAGCTGGAGCCCTTTCTCCTAAGTGAAGTATCACAAAAATAGGAAAACAAGCACCACATGTACTCATCATCAAATTGATATTAATTGATCAACGCTTATGTACACATATAGTAGTAACATTCATTGGGTGTCGGGAAGGTGGGGATGGGTATGTTCACACCTAATGGGTGTGGTGCACACCGTCTGGGGGATGGACACGCTTGAAGCTCTGACTCGGGCTAGGCAGAGGCAATACACGTAACCTAAACATTTGTACCCCCGTAATACGCTGAAATTAAAAAAAAAAAGAAAAGAAAACTACTAGAACAGTGCGATAGGATCAGGGAGAGAGAGACATGTGATTTCATTTAAAGCACCAGGCTATTTCTACAGGCTCCTGTTTACATATCCTTCTTTATGTTTTGTAAGAATTGTACTACAAGTGGAAATCAGTGAAGAAGTGACCTTGGTGAATCTTAATATTCCTGCTTAGCATATTCTTATCATCTTGTCTCAAGTTCAGTCCAAACAGTGCTTTGCAAAAGCAGCCTGGGTTTGGCCCTTCTTATCAACTCTTTAACATCTTTCTTAAACACCAGGCTTAAATTGCTGAATCAAATCCTGTACCAGTCTAAGAAGTGATTTCACTAGTTTTACATGTATTCCCATATATCTTCAAATCAACATAGAAGGTTTGAAAAGCATTAAGGAAAAAAAAAATGAAATATTGCATATCACAGAATATTTTTCTTTCGTGTTAAATAAATAAAACAATTAAATACAGTTATGTAGCAGGGCAGTGTTTTAATGGCCAAAGTCCTCCAGTCTGACTGAAACATGGTGCTGAGAAGTCGTGGGTTGACCCTAAAAAGTCATGAGCTGCTCCCTGAGTAGACTAGTTAGTGTACCTCTTGCCAGTGCAGGGTCCGTAGCACCGCTGTGGTGGGCGGGACAGCACACTTTCACAAGCTGTTTGTCACAGCTCTCTCAAATTAGTGAGGCAGTTCCATGCTATGTCAATTTAATGTGGTTGCAAGCTTTATTTTTTTCACGCCTTAATCACTGTAAATACACGGTTACTTGGTTTGTGTTGTTGTCCTAGAAGGCATGTGTTAACCTGTTGCTACTGAGTTCCTTTTGTCCTTTACTGTCTTTCAATGAGCAAAAATGTCCATCTGATTTTCATCATTGGAAAAACTTGTTTTATCCAAAAATGCCTTAGGTAAGAAAGAAGAAATCTGGATTGTTGATGACTTCATTATTGATGGAAATAATCTAAACAACCCTGTGATGCTTCTGGATACCTTTGACTTTGGGCCCAGAGAAGACAATTGGTTTTTCTATCCTGGTGGTAACATTGGTCTTTATTGCCCATATTCTTCAAAGGGAGCACCGTAAGTATTTAATTGAGAAGCTAAAAATAAAAGCACTGCTCTATACAAATCATGATGAATTTGTGCCTAAACGGATTCCTTGTTGTTTTCTTGCCTAACAGTGAGGAAGATTCAGCTATGGTGTTTGTTTCAAATGAAGTCGGTGAGCATTCCATTACCACCCGTGACCTAGATGTGAATGAGAACACCATCATACAATTTGAGGTACTTGACTTTGTTCTGTTAAAAATGCTTTAAATTTTATCTTGAACAAAACCTAGGAAAGAGGAAGAAAATCTCAGATAATTTCATGCATTATGACTGACTTCCCATTTTTGTGCAAGGACAGAAGAGGTTTTGGCATCATAATTCACTTTTATTAGCAGAACTAATTGTTATACTTAGGTTTATTTCTGAATTTTTGTTCTTTATTTATGACATAGTTTCCCCACCTACAATAATGGGAAGTTACTGCAATAAATTATTTTAAACATTATAAGAATGAAAAGGATCATACTATTCTAGTATTTTCACA